ATACGTCGAGGAGCTCGCGAAGTTTCTACTGGACATGAATCGATATCAAGAGAAGTTTTCAGAAGTGATCTCAGACACCCTCGTCCAAGCCTTGATCAAGAAGAACACGCCCGAGCCACTAAAGACCCAGGTGATGATGCAGACCTTCACGAACCACCAGATCCTACGGGAGACTTGCGAGGCCTTCGCTCAGCAGATGATGCAGCGCGACCCGAGGGTGACCAAGAAGAAGTTCGACCCGAACGCCATGGACGTAGACGCTTTCGACAAGGGCGGCAAGGGCGATTCCAAGGGCAAGGGCTTCGGCGGCAAGTCAGACCAGAAGGGCAGCGGTGGCAAGTCGAGCGGTCAAAGGAGCGCTTGGCAGAGTTCGGGCAGCAAAGGTGGCAAGGGCGATGGCAAGAACAAGATGAAGGGCAAGAAGGGCGAGATGAAGCTCTTCGACGGATGGTGCTCGAATCCCCACTGCGGCAAGTACGGGCACAAGATCGCGGACTGCAGGAAGTACGGCGGTGGCGCTTACCAGCCTGGAGGAGGTCAGCGATCCGTTTCTGAGGTCCAGCCAGGACTTCAGCCAGCTCCAGGATCGGGCTCAGCAAGTACGGTCCATCCAGGAGATTCAGCGTCACAGACACGAGTATGTGGGACTGGACGCGTACAGGCAGCAGTACTGCCAGACGACGAAGGGGGTTGGATTTTTGCGTTCACGGACGACACTGACGGGGATGAATGCGAGATGCTCGTGGATAGTGGAGCGCACACTCATGTTGTACCAAAGGCTATGACGGAGAAGTGCAAGCTCACAGGCGAGCCAGGTCAGTCTCTGCGATCCATTACTGGTAAGGGTATTCGGACTTGGGATAAGCGGACGTTGACGGGTGAGGTCTTCGATTCGAATACGTCGATTCCTGCGAAGCTAGACGTCACGCCAGCTGAAGTTCGTAGAGGTGCCCTTTCAGTTGCAGAGATGAATGATGCAGGTTATTCGGTACACTTTGATCCTGACGGAGCCAAGATGTTCAAAAGCAACAAGAATGTGCAGCACGAGTTAGATAAGGCGATCGAGTCGACAGTGACTTTGCGGTTGCGACGGAAGGTGAATGCATTTCTTCTTCCCATGAAGTTCAAGGATCCGACAGGCTACGAGTCCATCATCGGCGATGTCGAGGACAACCCTGAGAAGGACGACGAGCAGATGAAGGAGGAGCCTATCGTGACGCAGCCTGTGGAGGTGCAGGCTGACAGTGGAGCGGCTAGTTCACGTGATGGCCCACGTGGTGTCGCAGAAGAAGTTCCAGATCAGACGGGGACGCCCGTCGCACCCGGGCTCAAGAGACCAGCTCGGATGTCAGGAGAACATGTCAGAGCGCACATTCGGAGAGGTCACATTCCTTTCGAAGCTTGGTGTCAGGAGTGCATGATGGGACGAGGGCAAGAAGACCCTCATCGCGCGAGAGATCCAAACGCATCGGCTACTCCAGTTGTATCATTCGACTATGGGTTTCTCAGTCTCGGTGAAGACGGATCAGGTCAGCGTCTTACCCTGGCCGTCGGCAAGGACAGAAGGACAGGCTACCTCATGGGAGTTGTCGTGGAAGCTAAAGGCAGTCAGAGCTACGCCATAGCGGCCATCAGCGAGTACCTGGACGAGCTGGGCTACATGAGCATGGAAGTTCAGTTAGACGGAGAACCAGCACTGGAGGCACTCCTGAATGGAGTGATTTCGGAGCGTATCAAGAAGCTCGGCAAAGAGGCAGCTGAAGCTCAACTTCGAGTACGGTTGGTTCCAAAAGGAAGCCACGCTTCTCAAGGTGGAGTTGAGAGTGGAGTCAAGTCGGTTGCAGGTCTTGCTAGGACTGGGCGTTTGGCTCTGGAGAAGCGTTACAACATGAAGTTCACTGAGGATGTACCTATCATACCTTGGATGATTCGACATCAGATATTCTGCCACAACAGGTGCCAGCGGAGGAGGGGCAGCGGTCGCACACCTTTCGAGGAGCTCAGGTTGGCACCGTACACTTCACCCATGCTGGAGTTCGGAGAGACAGTGATCGGCAAGGAGCACACGGAGCTGCAGGACAAGCTGGGTACAGCCTGGTGCAAGGGACTGTGGCTAGGACGCAGCTCGAAGAGTGATGCTCATCTTATCGGTACGGCGACGGGGGTAGTTCAGGCCAGGACAGTGAAGCAGCTGACGACTGAGGAGAGTTTCGACATGGAGATGCTCAAAGCCATGCGTTGGACGCCTTGGAGGGCCTCGGTCAGAGCTGGAGTCTACGAGGGCGAGAACTGGCAGCCGACGGAAGGATGCCCTGGGTGTGAGCATGCAGCCAAAGGTCAGCATGGACGAGGACGGCCACCACACCACAGTAGGACATGCCAGCAGCGTCGGGCCGAGTACGAGAAGTCAATCGCCAGTAAGGACGATGAACAGCCGAAGGTGGTCGTTGTTCCTGTACCTACGGCCAGCTCGGAGGCTAACAGCGGCGAGCAGCAAGCA